AAAAGCTGTGCATCATTGCTGACACCTTGGTGCACCATACACAGCTGTTTTTAATGTTGTAAATAATGCAGTTGAAATATTATTGAAATTCAAAATACATAAAAATTAATAAAAGGTAGTTACAGCAATATATAAAAAATCCAAAGGCTGTGCATCATTGCTGACACCTCACTGCACCATACACAACTGTTTTTTATGTTGTAAATAATGCAGCTGAAATATTATTGAAATTCAAAATACGTAAAAATTAATAAAAATAAATACAGCAATATATCCAAAATTTAAAGGCTGTGCATCATTGCTGACACTGCACAGCTGTTTTTAATGTTGTATATAATTTAGCTGAAATAGCTTTATACTTTATATTAATGTTTATGTATTTTGAATTTCAATAGAATTTCAACCACATTACATACATCACTAAAACCATTGTATTTGGTTCAGCAAGATGTCAGCAATCATACACAAGTTTTGGATTTTGAATGTAATGCAATCTCTCATTTAAATAATTTTTTATATATAACTATATATAACTGCTTTATATACATTTTTATTTATTTTGAACTTCAATAATATTTCAGCCACATTACATACAACATCAAAAATAACTGTGTATGGTCCAGCTAGGTATCACCAATCATACACATTTTTTGGATTTTGGATCTAATGCAATATCTCATTTAAATATTTTTTTTATATATTTTTAATTTCAATTATATTCCAGTAACATTACATACAGCACTACAAAGAATTGTGTACAGTGCAGTGAAGTGTCAGCAGTCATACACACCTTACACCTTTTGGATTTTGGATATAATGCAATAAATACGTTATATTTTTTTTATTTAATTTGAACTTCAATAGTATTTTGCTCATCTTACATACAACACTAAAAACTACTGTGTATGGTGCAGTGCAGTGTCAGCAATGATGCACAGCCTTTGGATTTTGGATATAATGCAATAACTACTTTATATTAATTTTAATTTATTTTGAACTTCAATAATATTTTGGCCATCTTACATACAACACTAAAAATAACTGTGTATGGTGCAGTGCAGTGTCAGCCATGATGCACAGCTTTTGGATTTTTGATATATTGCTGTAACTACTTTTTATTAATTTTTATGTATTTTGAATTTCAATAATATTTCAGCTGCATTATTTACAACATTAAAAACAGTTGTGTAAGGTGCACCAATGTGTCAGCAATAATGCACAGCCTTTGGATTTTGGATATATTGCTGTAACTAATTTTTATTAATTTCTGTGTATTTTGAATTTCAATAATATTTCAGCTGCATTATTTACAACATTAAAAACAGTTGAGTATAGTCCAGTGAGGTGTCAGCAATGATGCACAGCCTTTGGACTTTTATATTATATATTACTGTAATTACTTTTTATTAATTTTCATGTATTTTGAATTTCAATAATGTTTCAGCTAAATTATATACAACATTAAAAACAGCTGTATATGGTGCAGCAAGTTGTCAGCAATGATGCACAGCTTTCGGATTTTTGATATATTGCTGTAACTACGTTTTATTAATTTTTATGTATTTTGAATTTCAATAATATTTCAGCTGAAATATATACAACATTAAAAAACAGCTGTGTATGGTGCAGTGAGGTGTCCGCAATGATGCAACGCCTTTAAATTTTGGATATTTTGATTTAACTTTTATCAATTTTGAATTTCAGTAGCATTTCAGCTGTATTACACCCAACACTACAAACAATTGTGTATGGTGCAGGTAAGTTACAGCAATCATACACAACTTTGGAGTTTTGAATGTACTGCAATAATTACTTTATATTAATATTTGTATTTTAAAAAGCATTTCAGCTGCATTAATTGCAGTGAATGCTGCATTTTGAATCTAAGCAGTATTTTTAGCTACATTATATCCTCAAGTAAAATTCAAAGTTTGTGTGTTTGAAACTTATCTGCACCAAACACTGCTGATTTAAATGTTCAATGTCTAAAATGTTATCGAAATTCAAAATGAAAAAATGTACAAGATTTAAAACTTACATCTGACTCACTTAGTGTTTGATGGATTTAATGATGATTTGCAATTTGATCCACTTAAATAAGACGTTTTCTTTTCTATATTCTCATTTTTTAATATTCTCATTTTTTAATATTTTAGACGGTTAAGGATCTATTGAACCTTCAAGACTGCTAATGTCTGTCGATTACTGAACCTCCGTCATCAAGCTAACTAGCTATATCAGTATATAGGTAATATCAGTTTTTACAGGTAAGGTACGCTCAGTACTTTTAGGACAATTATTGGCAAGTACATTTTAGTTACAGGTTAATTCAAAGTCCTTTTTCTAAATTAAAGTGGTGTGTGTTTCTAACCATAATTTAGAGCAAATAACACAATTAATCAGATGTGCATGGACACAGTGTTTATGGAGCTATTGACGTTTTATTGTCTGGCGGTGTCTATTGTTAGCATGAATAATTAAAATATGTATTTAAATGCACTGAAACGCTTTGGAGGAAAACAGAGGCGTGTGCATGGATGTAGGTGTGGCCTAGAAGTGCATGATTTTCCTTCCGACTGAAAAACTTGTCTCAGTTCTATGGTATTAACACAAAATAGCGGTACGTTAAATGTCACCCAAACTGCAAAAGAACAGGTGTGCATCACTCTCTGTGGTCGTACTGTCAGGAATATGTAAGTCTTTACTGACTATCTTAGTCCGATCACATGTTATTAGCGCCGAAAAGACGAATATCGAAAATAAAACTAACTTTACCGTGGTAAACTAGGCTGTATGTTAAACGGTAAACTGTAATCTGTGGGCGACACCTGTTAACTAAAGTAGCTGACAGACTCCCGTAAACACGGTACCTGTTTAGCTCGGCTAACGCTCCCTCAGGCTGGAGTCGAGTTGTGAAAGCGGATCTCAGCAGGTTTCGTGTTTGGCCGCTGATAATAACGCCGGTTTCTTTAGTTCATGTGAAAATGAATACAGATGACCGTTTGGATGCGGTCTGTTCCTCGTATGTGCTGGTTCAGTTCTCCTCTGTCCTTCTCCACTTAACTGGACATCTCTGTAGTGTTTTTCTTGCCGGAGGTGCTGTTTCTTGATTGGTGAATCTTTTCAATTTAACCACGCTTTTTTATTATTGGGTGATAAGCTGATACGCTCATCATTTATTTTTACTTTGTAAAAATTATGAAAATTAAAGTAGCAAAGTAAAAGTATTTTATTAAAAATGAACTAAGAGTAAAAGTACTATGATTTAATTCTACTCCAAAAAGTACAGTTACAGGGAAAACTGTGCTCAATTACAGTAACGAGAGTAAATGTAATTCGTTACTTACGCCTCTGATTCTAATGATACCTATGCCTAGGGACCACTGTATTTCGTGATTATGGCTGAAAAATTCAGTTGGGAAAAGGGAGTGTCGTTTGTTACCGTTTTTAGCAAGGTCAAAGAAAGTGTGGTTAATGTTTAAGTTAATGTTTTGTCTAATTAAATGTCTCTGAGACGTTATGGGAGAAAGTGCCGTTTGTGGCTGTCAATACAGCCGAATGAAGATGAAATTAAGACTCGACTGGCAATGCTACAAGCATAAAAAAAAGCTTCAGCAGACATGAGACTGTGGCTTCATAATGACTTTAAAAAGCTCAGTTGTTAGCGCTGAAATCTGTGTCTAACCGACACAGGCTCAACATTTTAATGTCTGTCAGCCATCGATGATGGACGATGGCATCGTTCATCAGCCCAACCCTAGTAAGTCGATGGGGAGAAACAAATGCTGATGATGACTTAGTGTGGAAATGCATCAGTTCCTACCGGTCACCCTGATTAATTATATTATTAATTATTAATTATAAAAGTCATCTAACTACATGCAAAACTACATTCCAGAGTGTTGGTTTCTTGTATGTAGAGTTGTGCTTGCATCTACCTACCCTTTGCTACACTGAACTATATCACCGCTTACCTCTAATTACCCTTGACAAGACTGGTGTCCAAGACGTTGGGTTCAGACGTGAATGCAGAGCGGTGGGATAAAGTCCAATACAGTCAGGGTATGATGTTCAGAAAACGGGAACTTTGAGCAGGTGCTATCATCATTTCTGCTTGAAGACAAGCAAGCAACTTGTCAGTCAGGCGTTTGCCGTGGACTGGCAAGGATCCTCTCTGCAACCAGAAAAAGACAACAAAGAAAACAACAAAGAAAACATTAACAACACCAACACCACCACCACCACCACCACCAACAACAACAACAACAACAAAAATAATAATAATACTACAACCCCTTTTCCAAAAAAGTTGGGATGCTGTACAAAATGTAAATAAAAACAGAATGCGGGTTTTTTCGCCTGGGGTCTCCACAGTTTCTCCCTCAATCTCCCTACCTCCTTTTGCATCCTGGAGGATGCAGCATCCATGATTTCTAAAAGGAATTCCTTAAATGAGCTTGGGCTGAGAGAAGTTGCATTTGTGGATCCTGTTTACATATGGTTTATCATTTGCACAGTAGAGTTTTAACTTGGAGGGGGGGGGATCAAACAAACATTTAAGAGTGACACTAATTTAAAAGTCTATCAATTAAATGTACTCACTCAATGCTGAGTGTTGATAATGCTGATGACAAATCAAAGTGCTCACCATCACACAGTCCTGCAATGTTGACAGCCTCGCCTTTTCCAGCTGCACTGTGCTGAGGAGAAAGTTCATCAACATAAAAGTTGCAATCTATTGAAAAATACAGCATTAAAAGAGACAGATCTGAGGTGGTTCTTATTAAACATTGCAATCCCCCCACTATAGCCTGTGGACCTCAGGTTACTTTGGGCCAAGTCTCCATAAGGAACAAAATATGTGTATTCTGGTAGTCAATAAAATCACTACGGATAAAATATTTATTAAACAGCCTAAAGCCTTCTGTTGTTAAATTAATGTACACTGAACTGTACAACGACTTACTACTATTTATCCTTGCCAAACTGGTATCTGATCAGAAGTGCAGAATAGTAGGACAGCAAAGAAGCTGACGAAATCCATGTCAAGTACAACCACTGGTAGACGTAATAAGACCTGAAAGAAAGAGTAAGGAGATAAAAGACAGGAGGGCATACATCCTCTTAAGTGAAAGATGAAATAATCTCAACCATGAACCGTTCTCTATTTTCAATGCACAGGTTGCAAATTACAATCAAATGGCTAAACTCACACACAAAAACAGCCAGGCCTGGCTTACCTGGTGTAACATATATACATATTGTTATTGCAGCATCCAAGGTTCCATTCCAGCTTGGGCCCTTTTCTGTATATCATCCCCTCTCTCCACTGTGTTTCCTGTCTATTAATACTGCATCTGTCCAATAAAGCAGAAATGCCAAACAAATCATCTTTGAAAGTTAAAATTAAAAACAGCTTGCTTTTGATATTTAAATGTATTAGAAACTCACCGCTTTCCATAACCGCTCACAGGAGTATGAAAGCAATGCATGAAAGGTGACAAGAGTGAAAGACTTACATTTTTACACTTGTAATAAACAGAATTTATACAAGAGCAGTGTGTATAGATAATTAAGGCATTTTACTCTTAAAATGTTAAAACATTTGTTAGACATGTGCTCAGTTTACTTACCTTGAAGAAGATTATTAGATCTTAGCAATGCCAGCAGCCTTCAACCTTCTCTGAAGTGTCACAAAAGCACTGAAACAAAGGCTCAAGTGGTCATGGACCAAATCTTCTGAATAGTTGCTTCTGGCAAAAAAAAATAAATAAAAAAAAATGGAAAACTCCCTGTATGTACTGTAAAATCTTGAACTAAATTACTGTTTGCCATTTTCAGAATTATATAATGAAAGTCAGTCTTCCCCTTTAAAATGTTTAAGCTAACTGAAAGAACAGCCTCCAACAAAAATGACAAACAAAATTGCTGTTGCTTTGAACCGTTCAAGTAATCATTAGGCATTAGTAATTCCACCAAAATGTACAATATTCAGTTCAGATAAATTAAACAGAACCAAACAATGCTTATTAAAACACTAAAGCTAGCTGAAAACATCAAAGAATACTATTCTGAATGTCAACAATTAACAGTTAACAATTAACAATTAACTGTTCCATACAGCTAGTGCTGTATAAGAGTTCAGTTGGATAAATCCATCCTTAACATGTCCCTCTCCACTCATGATCAGAGAGATCTGCGATGAGCGTGAGGACTCTTGGGTTCACTGACAGTTGTTTCTTGTTTTTCCTTGTTTCAATTTTTGTGCCCCTCTCTGGATTGATGTTGAAGAAACACCTTTGCGAACACAAGAATTCATAACCAACCACAATATACAGTGATTTGTTCTAAAGGGGGAAATTTAACTCATATATATATATATATATATATGTATGTATATATATATATATATATATATACACACACACACACACACACACACACACACCTCTGAAGGAACTCAAGTGTGGAGCCCAAATACATGGGATAGTGGATATTGAGGCAGTAATAGCATCAAATAGTAATAACATCAAACAGATATCAGAAATGAAGGTGGAGATTTGGTCATTCACAACTTCATGGTCTAGACTCAGCATGAACTGCTTTGAGGTATAGCAGGAGGTTCCTGCAAAGAAGATACAGGTAGACAATAATTAACAGCACATCAGCCATTACCATCCAAAATTGGTCTTAAAAGATGCTAGTTGTGTTTCTTCCCCATCCAGTGGTATTTTCTCCTTTATATGAGTGTAGTTTGACCTGTCAGCTGTCCTTTCCTGTGGTGAGAACATGTGCTTCACCAGGACAGCTGTTCTCCAAAATGAATGAAGTGGAACTGGACCTGCGAACACCACTTTGAGCTGAAAGATGTTTTGAAGAAAGCATAACAACACATTTATTGTGCATTCTGTTCTTGTTGTGCATCCTTCAAACCATTTTAGCAGCGTAAAATGGTGTTTGCAGGTCGAGATCCACTTCATTCACTTCAGAGATGAAACAGTCCCAATGAAGCATTTGTTCTCACAAGGAAGGAGCTGACAGGTCAAACTTGGAAGATCTATTATACTTGTATGGAGAAAAAAATACCACAGGATGGGGAAGAAACACAACTAGCATTTTTAAACATGATGATGCATTTGATTTAATATTTCCTTACATTAGCTTAGGCTCCTTCAGTTAAACTGAATATTAACTTACCACATACAATGATGCATGGAGTCACAGGCAAGCTTTCCACTTGTACTTCTGTTGTCAGACATGTTTCGTCTACATAATGTAAGAGGTTCTCCTCTTTTTCCTCAAAATAGGAGAGATGAAGGAGCACCATATCCTTGACATCTTCTGAGCGACCCTCCAACTGTCCTCACAGAATTTTCAGCTTTGTGACAGCCTGCAAAACGCGTTTGTTCTTGTTCGCACAAACAGTTCTCATGAAGTCCAGAAGCCATTTTCCCTTTTTTCCCCACACTTGTGAGGGAAGTCTATTCTAGTGATACTCCAGTGAGCTCTTGGAAGTGAACCGCCAGTCTCTCGGAACAAAAAAGGCCAATCCTCCATGAGGCACTGCAGATCTGTACCCTTATTTATCTCTTTATGTTGGGAGTAGTAAGTGCACTTCATAAGGGTTTTTACCTCATCTGAGCTGAAATTAGTTTGTTCACTGAGGACCTTCATTTTGCCTTTTTTCTCCTGTTGGCTTTCTGGTGTCTCACTCACTGGCATGAACTTCATGTCCCAACTTATGCAGCCATAAGTGTCCTGAATAGCTGCCTTTTGTTCGGCTGGGATAACCTCTGTGTCATACTCATCTGACCCCTGTTTGCGCTTCATCATCCTTGGTGCTGAAGACTGCTTCACATTTTCAGTTCAGGCTTGTAACTACTTGACCAGTGAGTGATATCCTGGTCCTACTACATCACCTTCTATGACATTTTGCAGTGACTGTGGATACTTGGCAACCATTTTTTGGCAACTACTGTGGAGGCTTGTTTACTGGGAGAAGCACAAGCATTCATCATCTCAGAAACAACAATCTGGATCATTTCCCTCCTTAAGCGTGGGCTTGGCCTTTTCCCCCTCTCCAAACACTGCATCAAGGCTTCAGGCAACTTCACCCATGGAATCTGAAAGCTGTCAACCCAGTCTGCAGCAGTAATTGGGAGGCTGGGAGAGGGGGACGGAGAGGGAGAGAGTGAAAAGCGCGATGAGGAAGCTGGAGAAGTTAAAGCTGACTGACTTTGGATTTCAGTGTTCTGTGCTGTAAAACAAAAATAATGAAATTAATAAAGCATACTGGCTGAATGATGTTTTAGCCTTGGTATTACTTAAAAATATATTTTGTCAAAATGTACTCACTGGCTTGTTTCCAGGCAGCCACCAATTTTCTCGCCTGAATTGGTCTCAGTACTGAAAGCAGATCACCTTCCTGGATGAAGTGAAAATCCTCAGTGGTCTCCACCCCTAACGATTGTAGTGTCTCCTCTACAATATTTAGAATTGAGGCTGGTAGGTCTGGTAACACCTTAGTAATGGCATTGCTTATGTTGATTTGCGCTGCATCATCCATTTCTGAGTATGAAAGTGTGAATAAATCTCATTTAACACCAGAACAACAGCCCAAGACATTCATTAGTGTGACAACACACTGTGTTTCAAAGGAACCACTTGGTATCCATCCTTCATGTAAGATGGCAATGGATAGAAATCAGTCAAGTCATTGATGTTTAGACACTGCATCTTTTCACTGGCTTTCTTAACTGAGTACAGATGGTAATGAGGAAGGAATTCTGCTATGTACACTGACACCAGAAAATGGACAATGTCATTTTTTATCAAAATAAGCACTAGTTCACCAAACTCCATGGGGTCAGTGTTCCCTGTGACAAGGAATTGTCCTTTCTTGTATGATGTCCCCTTATATAGAATTTCTACTGTGACCTTTGTGTTGGTCTCAGTGAAGACAAATTGTCTGACTGCATCTTGAATGGATTTACTGTATAGTAGTGAGTAAAATGGAGAAGCACCTTTAACTTGCAAGACAGTCTGACCCACTGATCCAGCAGAAAGATAAGCCTTCAACATCTGATGTCTTTCAGAGAGAGTATGGCACATCTCTTGAAATAACTGTGCTTACTTTCAAATCGCATTGTCCACAGCCTGATCAAGGGGTCAAACTTCAGAATCAGTGCTGGGTAATGACGTAAATAATTATGCTTTGGTTTGAGGTTACTTTCTGGGAATAGAGCCTTTCTTGACTCTAAATATTCTTGAATAAGAACATCAAGATATGCAACCTGAGGCACAGAGATTTTCTGAGCACATATCATGTCCACAATGTCTTTCAGCTGCAGTCAACTGCCACACATCATCTGCTGTATCTTTCACTCTGTCACCAATTATGAGAGGCAGCAGCCTTAGAAAATTCCAATTCTATACGGCCTGTCCTGAGAGTTTAGCTGCTTGAGGGCTGACCTCACATGGCAACAGCAGCCATCTTAGTTGTCACATCTTAGTTTATAGCCTGGAACAGCCTTGCAACCACCAAGTGCACCCTTGCAGCCACCTACAAAGACCTTGGCAACGGGCTACCCAGATAGCAAGCATATATCGGTCTGCTGGTTTGATAAGACACCCCGCTGACTGTTTGCCACTGCTGTTCCACCCTCAGACCACCCAGATATTTGTCCTGCATACAAGCTCTACCTATGTTTTAATCTCCCCAAACAGATTTTAAATGCACAGAGCCTTTTATTTTAGAAAAAAGAAACTAATATTACAAACAACTAAGATAAAAATAATGACTAGGCCCGATATAAAATGATTTTATACAAAATGTTGTTGCTGACTCTGTGCTAAATTAAAATTATTTACTAAACTAATTTACAAAGTAAAATAGGAAAAAATAAGTAAATAGGACTGTGAGTGGAAAATGAGCGATAATGAGTGGAATTTTTTCTATTACTCTGCTTAAACACCAGTGGGCCACTCAGAGAACACTGAACAAAACGCCAGTGGACCACCAGCTTTGCCATCAGCGGGCCAACAGTAGTCCTCTATCCTCTTGCTATCAGGGTAGTACACCCTAGCAATCACCTACACTTTAGATACCACCTACACCTTAGCAACCACATGGTACACGCTAACAACCACCTAGTTCACCTTATCAAACACAACACCCCAGCAGCCATCTTGTGCATCTTCGTAACCAACTAAAACACCTTACCAATCACCTAGACCAACAATAGCAAACACCTACAAACACCCTAGCAATCATCTAAAAACACCCTTACCAACTAGTAAACCCTGGCAACCACCAAAGATTGCTAGCATTGCTGCACAGCAATCAGTTGAATTTATTTAAGAAATAAATCTTTCTGGTAATGTTTGTGTTTTTCATTGCACATAACACATTAACTGTCAGATTGAACCCATATTTACAAGGATATCACCTAAAATTACAGTAAATTACAGTATATTTAAACCTATGTTTTACCATGAAA